GCGATAGATTTCATCCAAGATCTTGGCCAAATCAAGAGCTACCTGTAAAAAGGCTGCAGTAGTTAGGAAGCAATCCTACCTGTGTGAAAATAAATGACTTCAACCACAATCACGTAGAATGTGCAGAAATAACATCACAAGCGCTTCTAACCTTTTCGACTTCCGCTTTCGATGAACAAAACACGAGTACAAGCTTTCGGAAGAAAAGTCCTTCGGCTGCTAAACTAGAACAAACAAATTTTATAAGAACAGAATGGTAAACCAGCTGAGTGGAACAGACCCCAAAACACATTCAGGATCGTCGGCAACTCGAAATCTCTTCGGAACATCTCTTATGTGGGTATCCGATTTAAGGTCTTTGATACGTCCACCACAGCATAGTCGTTCGTGCAACTCAACTGGTCGGAAATGAGTCGCAATCACCTACGGAACATTCTTTCAGGGAGGATTCCAAGGGATTTATGATTGATGAAACCCTCATGTAATTTTCTACATTCATGGACCGCTACAATTAAGTGTGCTCGGACACTGTTAATCATTGAAACATACTTTTGCATTCAGCCAAAGGCCCACTTCTTCCAAGTTCTCTAGGGTTGCGCTCATTCCGATTATTCGTACAGCAGACGACGGGTTTCTGAAATATTTACTTATGCATGCCATGAAAAAAAGGATTTTTTGTATAGGAGCAGAAAATTCACGCTGTTGAAGTGAACTGAGGTGAACCAAATACTAGTAAATGAAAATTAAAAGAACGAAACAGAAGGAAGAGGTAGCGAAACCGAAGAACTACATGCATTCGTTGTTTTTGAAAAGTTCTGACCTTGTAATTGCTAAGTATGGGAAATAATTGACCGATGTGAACGACGCCTCTCGTCATGTCAGAACTTTTCGAAATCAAAACATTTTCAAGTAGAAATGATAGTGTACATGAAATGACTACTTTTCTAAACGCGTGTTCTTACATTGATAGTTTCTTCGCACACTAGAATTCCCTAAAAAATTCATAAATCGAGAGATAAAAATGGCTCCGCGAGAGATAAACAGTTCGCTTCGTAAAGAGCACAACCTACCGGGAGTTCCAAAGAATTATTTTTGCACAGAGTGACTCCAATACACCACCACGGGATGAGTCGTAGACCATGTGCAGCTCGTCGATCACTACCAAACCTTCAAAAGCCAATTAGCTTATGAGAATCGAGAAAGAAACCTCAACTGGTGTACCTATTTCTGTCATGTGTCCATCAAGAATAGCATGATTTATGA